CTTCAGAGAATGTCTGCTCTTAAAAGAAAAAAAAAAATGTAAAAAGCTCAGAATAAATATTTGATTTTCTCTTCCCATTTTTATCTTCCACTCGATGCCTCTTTCCCACAGTGTTCCATTACATAAAAGGTTTATGCAATCTGAGCGGTGAGGATGGCCATGAGTCATAACAACAGTGAAAACGGCTAGCTAAAGTAGCACAGATTTTTTTTTTTCTTACAAATTTATGTTATAGAATTAGTTCTTTAATGATCTCACACAGGCCTGTGATTCACACATTTTATTTCATGTAAAGCATTTCAAATAGGGGAACTGCTCACTCATTTCTGATAATACGGTATGAGTGAGAGATGCTAGAAGTGTCTGGACAAAGTATAAAATCTGGCTTTGTAAAAATGTTTTATGTTTTCAGGGCTTTCTAGGGTCACATTGGGAAACAGCTTTCATTTCGAATAATCACTGAAGTTCTGAATTTGCTTTGTGAATGATATGTTTCAACAGGAATATCCCTGAAAATCTTCAAGGCAGATCACAATTTCTTTATTACCGATTCTTGTAAAGAAACTGACTTCAATCTTAAAGATAAGAAGATCAGTTTTTTTCCTCTCATCTATCTCAGTGTGATATGTATTGACATCAATGAACAGCCCTCACTGAGCAAATTATCAAAGGGGTATTTTTTGCAGCTACAGTCCACAGTTTCTCCTAAATCAGATGATGTGCGTTAGCTGTCACATGAACACTGTGTGCAAACACAGATAGTGAGAACGAGACACACAGAGAAAGGGGAAGACAGACAGCCCCCCCACCGGTCCTGCTGCTGCTCACCTCTCCAGGAATCAGAAAAGATTCCTGGAGAGGCTCTAGTCCTGAGTCCCAGCCTCTGATAGCTGATAGCCTCTGGTTCTGAGTCCCAGGGCCAGCGGCCGATGATGAATGCCCCCCCCTCCTCCTCAAACCCCAGCCACGCTGTGAACACCCCTGGCAGCTGGACCGGCGACAGAGGTTCAGGGGGAGAAGGGAAACAAAGCGAAGAACAACACAGTCTGACATGAATACAGGATGGCAACAGCTCACTGGTGGAAACACTACACCATTTTCACCTAGATCTGCAGCCCACAGCACACAGATGGAAAGTGGACTGGGAGGAAGGGAGAGGACAGACGGGCAGACGGGCAGACGCACAAACAGCGGGCAGACTCGACACCTCACTCACAATCACAGTCACACTATAGAGAGTTGGAATCTAGAGCCTGGGGATGGCAAAGACACTATATTTTGAATGCCCTGGATACTTAAAAAAAATAAATAAATAAATGTTTTAACTCGGGCTAAATGATCCAAGGAACATATTTAATTGTTCTGACATGTTGTGATTTAATTTGCAATATCGTTTTTTTTTTAAAGTCAAGCTTCAGTTCAATGTTCACTGTGTAATACACTTAAAACATGATGGACTATTACCACTCGAGAGACCAACCAAAGTGTGACTGTTACACAAGGAGAACAGCATGAAATTGTAAAATCAAAGACACCACAGTTTAAACTCTGGGTCAGACTCACTGCATAACACATATCCTAAATTGCAGTCTCTGGCGATTTGCTAATTGCATTGTCTTACATTTCGATTAGGATTCAATTAATTGTTCAGCCCTAGTTTTAACTAAATAAAAATGTTAAAAATTCCAAATGTGGCCCAACCACAGCGCAAAGAAGACTAATGTTTGCTGCCGCCATGTGAACTGTATAAGCCTAAAGATGATATGAGGCCTTGTAATTATTATACTTAACAGGCCTACACTTTCCCCCTAAAGTAGGCAAGGTCAAAAAGACAGCTCCTATCATCTCCAATCTGCAAACACAACATAAACACAACAAACTACACCCCAGTCTGTTGCACAACTGTTTGGAAACTTGAGCTCTAACTAAAAAGAACATGCATAAGGCGTTGTAGTGCTCATGCTGCTACAGCTCAGCCCTAACAGCGGAGAGGAAGACAACTTTGAACTGTAAGTCAGAGCCCTGCAGTGGACCGGAGCAGCTTCCAGAGAGCAGAGGAGGCTGGGTCACTTCCCTTCCCTGTTCGTATGGCTGATGTGCGCTGCAGAATAATGGGAGGAATCACATCCCCCCCAGCTGTCCTGGTTCACAAGGCTTCTCAGACAGACAGAAAAACAAGGATATTGCCGGCCGGGCCTCCTTCCTGCAGCTCATGAGGCCACAGGGCCAGTCCAGCTGCAGGAGATCCAACTGTTCCTTCTAGCAGCTACTGGACTTTTAGTCAATGGGCTTGATGTATGAGCTGTGACACCCAAGTCTCATAGCTGTAATTACTACACCAGCCATTGATAAACACTTTCCCATACATTCTACTCCTGGCTATCTAGAGTAACATAATGGGAGGGTAGAGTAAATGGTGATAAAGGCTGTAACTGATGCTTCAAATAGCCTTTTTCAGCGCTCTGAACCAACACAAACCACTTCATCACACAGAGCTTGCCAGACTGTGAAGAAAGTTTACTTTGCACACAGTTCAATTGTTTGTCTGTTGATGATGCTTCCGCTTAATCGACTCTACAAAGCCGGAGAATCTAAATCTCCAGTGAGAGATGCTTTTTAAGATCTACAGTAGAGCATCAGGAATTCAATACAGTGGGGTATATTAGCAATCATGGGGAGATCTTTTGATCTAGTAAATTATATTATAATATATTCCTTTGATTTATGTTTTTTTTTTTTTTTCTCAAAGTCTCATTAAGATGCGGTTAAAATGCAACTCAGCAAAGAGATGTCTTTCTTAACTTCAGTTTTGCTTTATACATGATTCAACTTAATAATATAGCCACAATATTGTGTAGAACATCACTCGCTAGTTCTACATCGCCGTGCAGGCCGATGTCTGTTTCAGGACAACAATAAGAAAACAAACTAAAAAATAATGACGAACACAACCACAGGTCACACGTTTGTGTTGAATGCCACACAAGTTCGGCCCACTGACTCTAGAGATGATGCACGGTGTGATTCTGTGGGTTTTTCTTGTAGCCCAGAAAGCCAAAGAAGAAAGAGGGGGCAGCTTAAAGGTGTTAAATGACTTGACTTATCAAAGTCATCACCTTTGCTCCACCGCATGCTTCCACAGTAAAACCCTCCCAAAACCACACAGTGTGAATGTGCATTTTAAAAAATGTAACTCAACGGCCATCAGCTAAGGGACCAAGATATTATGCACAGCAATTTACAAAAAAAAAGCTTAAAGAAAAACATTATGATCATGCTACGACATTGGCTTGAGTTGCTATGAAAGCATAATACCAAAGGTTTGTTTGTTTTTGCAATTGCAGTCAGAGTCCAGTAGTGAGTGGCAAAACCAAGATCAGACTGACGGCAGATTTAAAGTGCGACTCTGTTTGAGGATCTTCCTGCTGAGTCTCCTGTGTGGTCCAGGTTGAAGGAGTGAAGAGACCTCCAGCCAGGCCTCGTTTGAAAGAGCAGGGGACACAGGAAAAGACGGTGCGGCCTTAAGCTGCTCTGTCCTGCTCAGCAGCACATGTGCTGAGTGAGCCAAACAGGGTGGCTTACCACCAGAGGTCTCAGTCAAGGGCAGGACAGTTGAAAGGTCACTGCTAGCTGTCTTGCTATACAAACAGTACCTCAGCGAGGTAATGCTTTCACCCTCTGAGCTTGTACTGGGCTGGAACAGGGCATAAAATGAACAGAGCGTGTTGCTGCCAGTGAAATGTTATGCTTATCAGGCTTAAAAGGCAGTCAATATGACATGTATTAATTCTATTATATAGTTTTTAAAAGGCAAGTAATAATCTCAGCACGAGTCTTATCGGTTGATTTTGTGATATCTGACAATTACAATTTATTACAATCAATATATTTTAATGTTTAAAAGAAAACACCAGAACATGTGCTTCAGTCAGTAGCATTTCGCAAGTTTATGTCGTCAGTCAAATAGTGCTAGTTCACACCTATACTTTAGGCTGATCACGAGAGCACATCCTCTGTAATGCAAAAAAGCGATTGCAAACGCAGGAACAGAACCCAGAACCACCCTGCAGTAAGGTACAAGTGCTAACCAAAGACCCACCGTTACACCCACAGTCCGGATATTTGCAGGCACGAATCCACAGTAATCTAGTTAGCATTAACCAAACGCACAAAAAAAATATATTTTTCAAATGTATACCTTAACTTGAAATCAAACTGTTCTGAATTGGTAGCTTAGGTCTGATTTCTGGTTAAGTGTACAACAACAGAAATAAATCATATGTTTTTATAAATGTAATAAAGAGGGCAGCTATTTGTTGACCCAAAAAAAAAAAAAAGTTGTTTCTCTTTAGTCTACAGGGAACAGTCTACAGTTAACTGCGGTCTAAAACATTATCTGCCAGGCTCTAGATTCTGCATCCAACCTCCAGGTCTCACAGGGGAACGCTGGAATCTCCATATTGATGATGGAGCTCCAATAAACAATGAATCATGTTACTAAGATGCTTTAGATAGACAAAGAGAAAGTTGAATAGCTACAGTGTGACAACGTGCGTTACTCTGCCTCTGATGGTTTGTTTTGTTTATCTGCATCTATATTTACACGTAACTCAGGCATAAAACAGTACCAAAACTTGGAATTACATTACACACACAAAAAAGGAAAGAAGGTGACTTTTCAGTTCTCTGTGTAAATTTGGCCGACCACCTCAACCACTAAACTAGATTTACTACATTCTAACTTTTTGCCAGAAAAACACAACTGCACTTCAAGCTCACTTTGCCAAATGTTGTCATCGATAACAACAAGCCCTGTACATACTTCAATGCATCACAAAACAATATAATATAAAGCCAAGGGATTGAACAAATAGATTCACAATCATGCAAAAAAGATTTTAAAATATATACAACAGTCAGATTATATTGTATAATACTGTAATATCCATAAGTGTAATTTTCTTGCTAAATCTGCAGTATAAAGGAACATCTTGGCTTACCAAATAATCAGAGAAACACTATCCTCTTTATTGGACCAAGAATGTTCTGCTTCTATCTCTTATTTTTCATTCAATGCATCCTTGGCTTTCAGCTCTCTGGTGTTTTGTCCTCCTTGGAAAAATGTCCTGGGAGGAGGAGAGTGGAGGAGAAAGACTTTCACTCAGTGATTCAGAGGCATCGTGTAAACGCCAGCATTCTCTTTCTGACAACCAGCGTTAATTGCAGATCCGACTCGCCCACACACTCCACATTTCTCCTGGAAGGAGAAGCTGAGACACTGAGATTGAAGTGGGATGAGGAGTGCAGTAAAAGATGCTGCAGCTGCCCATTCCTCGCACCATCACCACCTCTCATTTCTGCCTTTCCACCGAGAACTTGTGCTAAGACGCTAACAAGCACTTACGCACATTTACAGAGACATGCAGGGGCACACAAACACAACATATAACAAGGCTAAAACATTTAATAAACAGTGGTAGTCACTGTGGAAAATCAGCCATCTATCATGCAATACTACATCATCCTATCCTTGATTAAATGATACGGGGCGGAATCTAATAGTCGTATTATCAAACCTCTTTGTGTGTTTGTGTGATGGCAGATTTAGAACATTCGGGGTCTCTGAGGTTAAAGCAACAGTTCACCGCATGCGTGAGAAGGACATTTATGATTTCTCTATCTGTGCCTCCATATTCATTCCCTTTGACTAATATACGCCATAAATTGTTAAAATGATATTCATATCAGCACGATGAAAGAATCCCTCATCCACACATTAGACATAAGAGCTCACGTGATGTGGATCATGAGCAACAAGGCCCATTACTGGCGCGGCCTGGGGCAGCACAGAAGCTAATGACTGCAGATTGGAGGGTGCTTTAATGCTTTGCTTTAGAAATCACTGGCAACCAGCTGGTATGGTAACATGCATGCTGTCGGAAAAGTGGCAACATAAAAAGGACAGTGAAAAATACAAGTATGGTTTAATACTGCCGCAACAACTCGTGTCCCTGAAGAATTGCTTTAACAATAAAATCTGTCATTGATTTGACCTGATAAGTGAGGGCTATGCTGTAAGCGGTGAAGTATTTACTGTCACGGTTAAGGTAAAGTAATCAGTTTTAAATGTAGGCAATGTAAACAATGCACCACAGCTTCTAATGATGCTGATGTATAAGTTTGATTTTGCCACATTTTAACACAAAAGGCACCAAAAAAATAAATAAAATTACCAAAATGAACTTGTAAAACGAGTCGTGAATAGCAGAAGACAACTTCAGGTTGCATTCTCTGTCCCTACAGAATAAAAGCTTCTCCTTCTGTACAATATTAATGAGGTATGTAGGGTGAAACATTTGAGAAGGTCAGGTTACTGTTGGCCATTCCACACTCTGGCCAGGGGTTAAGGTCACCAGAGTGCCAGAGATTCAAAGAAGCAGCAGACAGCAAAGATCCCCTCTCTCACAAGCTCTGCCCCCAAACGGCCTGTAATCTTCAACGCTGTGCACCGTCCCGCTGCCTGTCACTTTAATTAATAAAATATGGGATCTTCAGGTGATCGCTTTATACAGCGAGAAGTCCATCAACACGAAGATTACTTGTAATAAATAAAAAAAAGTCTCAATTCACTAATTCACTTGACTGGGATCACATCAGCTGAGCTTTTTGCAGCTTGAACCACTCATCTGTTTTTTAAAACTATATAGAAAAAAATCATATACAAGCATGTCATGCATATCTGGCTATTGGAAAAACAATTATTTCTCCTTTTCTACATTATTATTATTATCATCATCATACATACACAACTCAAAATATAGCCATCCATAAGAATTATTTACATTCTTTTAAATTAAAGGGGGTTGCGTGTTTTTTAAGAAGCTGCATATTGTGAAAACATACAATTTGCAGACAACTTGTATTACCACCACACTGTCACTGTGTGCTGCTGGAACTGTGACGGCTCAACAGTGTTATTATATACACACTGATTACTATTTTGCCCAAACGATGCGCCTGTTTAACAAAGTACAAGCTTAACATTTCGCACTTTGGATCACATGACAAACTCAGGGGATAGTTTGTTTTTTTGTTGTTTTTTTTAAAAGAACCACATCATACTATAGGAGAACTTATTCCGGGCGCGCGACGGATCCAGAAAAAACTTTCCCACAATTGGCAGATATCAACAGCGCGCGCGACTCACGGGCACCTTTAACCTAACACTCGGACTAACCCCCTCCGCCTTCCTTTTTTTTTAAAAAAAAAAACGCCATTTTACTGTTGTTTAAAAAATGACACGACGGGACTTTTACGCGGTGTCAAACGGCCGCTTGTACCTGGGAGAAGACAGATAGATGTCTCCCAGCGTCTCCCAAATCCACTCTACGTCTCCCTCTTGCGCTTTTCCACTCTCACTCACTGTTAGCTCCAGTGTCGCCGCCACACTCCGCAACATTGTTTCTATTTTCGCTACTCACCTTTTACTCCCAAGTCGGCCCGCTGTATATAGACACTCTATATCGGTGACTCCAGTGGATAAACGTAATTTCGGTTCACATTTACGCGCTGACTGCTATTTTAGGGGGAGCTGACAAACTCAGAAAAGCCAGTCTCCCTCTTGTCAGTGAGAGACTCCTCCCCTTATCTGACGAACTGCCTCCCCCTCCCTCCCTCCCTCGCCCTCTCTCTCTCTCTCTCTCTCCCTCTCTCTCTCACAGTCAAAACATTTATTACAAGTAAGGAAAAAGTCTCTGTTTATTCTGAAAACCCCCTGAAAATGCTACTTAAATTGAAAGGAGTTTATTACTGATAGGTTTTTAAATACGTCATTAGATTCGTGTCTTTTTCACTATAATAACAACTCAGCCATCAGAGTGAGGCAGCTAAGCAGGCACGTTTTGTAAAGTAGCAAACAAAAACTACTAATCAAATGCTGTTTTCCTCCACTCTGACTTTACATTTGGACAGCAAGACTTCGCCAAACTGCTCGGCTCAGCCTCATTACATTAGATACTACGTTTGACGTCATATCTCTAAGACAACAGCAATGGAATTCGCTTTAAAGGGCGCCCCCGTCGGCCAATCAAAACCCGCAGCGTCTGTCCAGCAGCCAATCAGAGGAGAGAAGAGGGCGGGATCTATGCGACTCGCGCAGCAGCCTGTCACGTGTATGTGCAGGATCAGAGGAGGTGTGGTGACCGGGCCGCCCGGCTGTCTTCACTGGCATTTGGAGGCAGGTGCGATTGGAAAATCGGCGTAATTATCATATTCTCCCGAAATTACGCGCGGCGTGTGGGTTGGATGAACAGGTGACCAGGTTTATGTTTGGAGTAATTGTGCACATGGGCGCCAAGAGTGATGACATGTAGTAGTTTAAAGGTTTTGCAAGTTAAGAGGGCTTGAATGAAGAGTTGGAAAATTAAGAGTCTGTTTCAGTGTTTTTATTTTTTTGCTGCTTAACATGTCAATTCTGGAGGAACATTTAATAGCCTGTTTTTTTAATCAGATGCACTGCTTCATATCAAACCCAACACAAAAAATGTAAACCCAGCTTATAAATGGGCTCCTTTTTAGACTTAGAGAAAAAGTTATACATCTCATCTCTTTTGTTGTCGTTGAAAAGGTCAAATTTAGGCAATTGTGCCCCAAAGATTTTGAAGTGTGACAAATTCATGACCACTGGGTTAATCCACACACCGGTCAGGTGGCTTTACAGGACAGATAGTGTGACCAGTACACAGACACTCCGGTGATTAGTGATCACAAAAGACCACCTTTAATGCCAGTTTTAATCAGGTAATGCGATGCCACAGATGACAGGAGAAAGATGAGAATGGGCTGTTGGCACGCTGGACCCAATTAGGGCCATATTCAGGAACTTGAATGTCCACAACTCCACCATTTGTCGCTTGAGAAATGGTTTCAGACAGCAACAAACAATCAAAGCCACAGGACGCTCTGGATAGACTTGTCTGACAACACGATCCTGGCCCCTGAAATGTCCACCAACTTTACCAAGTCCTTCAGGAAGAGACCTTTGACCCCAGTCTTGATCTGCCCATTATTATTCCCAGTATAGTGCATACGTTGCTGTTTCATGACATCATTCTGCTGTAGATGCTGCGTGTTGTATAACATCAAATACTCTTTATGTTAAAAAGAATGAATACAATTTAATACATATTAAATGTTTTATATTTTTGTTTAGCATATAAAGTGGTTAAGAAGAGTTACACCTTGACAAGCAGCGATGTTAATATGCTGCTCACACATTATGGTTTACGTTCATTTTTTGATTCCTCTTACTTATTTTTACTTAAAGATTCTGAATGGAAGACCTATTGGGTATTTCTCCTTTGTGGTTTTGCTGCTTTTAAGTAAAGGATCCACGTCCTTTGCTTCCACTACTGCTTCAATCTCAGTTTACCAGCTATTATATAAAATTCAGAGGAGCAACAGAAGCTGCACCAAAGTTTCACTCATTAGGCCACTCATTACCGAGTAGGCAATGCATGTAATGTAAATGACTCTTTCTATATCATAAGACTTTGTCGTTTGGCTCACAGGATTTTATAGACACATAATTAATTACTTCAAGAGCCATTTGAAATTTTAGACTTCAAAGAGTCACCAGACTGACTAAAGTTTGGAAGTACTCATGTCTTGTGTATGTTTTAGAGAGAGAGCAAAGTAATCGGATATCTCTGCAAACGGAATCAGCATTTTGCCCCATTTGAAGAGTAAAACACTCAGATTTTTTAGTCATGCTGCTCTTTAAATGAAATCCTGTTTCATTACACTGCATGCTCTAATAGCTAATGAAGGAAAGGAGTTTTCACACAGTATGGCTGCTGCTGTATGCAGATCATTTGTATTTGTCTAGTACAGCCGGCTCCCCGGTGTACTGTACTACCTTTCTCACCAGTTAGTCTCAGTCCTAAAAGAAAACAAAAGCTGTGTCGAGTCTTCCTCGTCCCTCCTGATTCCTCATGGCTCGAGGCCAAGGAGTCAACTGTCCTTAATGGCTCTAAATGCTCATAAAAAAACAGTTTCTTCATTACTGGCCCTCACTGCATGAGTTAAGATCCAAATAGTTTAGTTCTTCTTGTGTTCTTGTGTTGTAATTTATATCAGCTAAGTTACACAGAAGTTGCCACACACCAGTCGAGATTAAATAGTAGTTTTGTTCATTGTAAGCGCTGCAAGTCAATGCTAACTGCATACATAAAATTCGAAATGCTTGAAAAAACTTGTTGAGTAAATACTGAACCAAATGGACACTGTTGTTGTTCTCATATTAGCCACAGCATTGCTTGATTCATAGTGTTCTCCCATCTGCCTCTCTCACACACACCACTACTTTATATTGCACCATTACATCAAGAGGCATGTTTTTGGTTGTTTACTTGATGGGTGAGTATTAGAATTTGTGCTGTTATTGTTTGTTAAAATTTATTAAATATTATTCAGTGCCACGTGAGATTTTGGAAATGAGAAGTTTCCACAGAGAATATAAAAGAATGTTTTCAATTAAATCCGTAATTCATATGGTCATTATACTGTAATACAGTTTATTATGGGGGTGGTTCAAATTGTGTTCCACTGTAAAAATAAAATCTTTTGTACCCAAAGGTGCCTTTATGATAAAAAAAAAAAAAAAAATGGGCCTCTCTTCAAACTCATTTCCCTGCCCTATCATGCATAGTTACATTCATCTAAATGTCCCAAAAGCATCTGCAGACTCCCTGTGATAAATATATCGTAGTAGATTTCTAACTCACTCACCTTCTCTTGTTCTTTTTAGGTAAAGATATATGTCAGCATTAATACAGCTGCAGCATAATGTGAAATATGAATGGAGTCTGGTATTATTCAAGCAAAATGTGAAGATTGTTTACCATCCATTGAAAGTATCCGGTTCACAATTAAAACCCTGTTATTTTATATTATAGCATAGAAAAGTAATATAGCATAACAACTTTTAATAAATTGACAACAGAGTGGATCCGAGTTGCTCTTATTGTCTTCTTATCAGCACTTTTGTGTCGTTATGCACTCCTCCCATCTTCCCAAAGTGATGCCAGCAACGAAAAAACACTGATGCTGGCAAAAATGCCACAAACGCTAAAGCAGTGATTTACATCAGCTCATAAGTCCCACCTGAGCATGATGTAGTAGACTGAAATATGAGACGGTATGTGTGGCATGATCGCTGCTAAAACCCACATCGCTGTGCAAGAGATGACATTTGTATTAGATTCACTGTAAAACAGCTGTCTCCAACTTGACATGATATCAGCATCACATTTCATTTTACCTCATGTGCAATGGGAGTCAAACCCTTTTGTAACACCTGTGTCTCACCTGTTTGTTGCCGATCGTGGTACAAACGCCTTCACAGAACCCGCTGATCCAATCTCCACCTTTCTTTCCTGCACGTATTGACTTTCTTTATCTCTTCCTTTTGTTCTGTCTACAACTCTTCCTCTTCTTTCTGCTGCCTTTGTGTCACTCTGCCCATTGATCTACCTCAAAGCCAGACCAGCTGGCTTCGGATGCTTCCCTCCGAGCCCTAAGAGGCCCGTCTTCACACCCTGTTCCTCCTCTTGTCCCCTTGGTCTCTCTGCCGGCAGAGAGCAAGGAGGTTGTGGTTTGAAGAGTAGGACCCCAGATGGACATAGACATGTCGGGCATGCGTTATGTGATGGGGCTTGGCTCAGGGCTCACTGGACCAGCCACAGCTGTCAGTCATAACTCCAGAAGGTGTCGAGGATTTCTCCTGTCTCTCTCTGAAGCTGAAAAGACTGAAGAAGAAAAGAAAAAGTATTCCACGACATAGTGAACAGTTTTAAAGAAAATGCTTGTAACGTCATCTGTAATCCGGTTTCTAGTAAAATATGTCCCCAATTTTTTTATTTTCTTTTACGTAGATTATAAAACCATGTTTCAAAAGTTTGTTTTTAAACGTCCATGTGCGCAATACTTTGCCATTTTAAATTAAGAGGGGAAATCTTGCATGTATGACATAATAAGTGATGCATTTCAACCAGCTGCAGGGACGTGCCAAATAATGGTTTGTCCCAGCAGGGCTTTGATGCCGACAGCTGGCATTTCCAACATTGTACCAGACCACAAATAGACCCAGACACTCTCTCCCTCCAATTAAAAAATGCATGCAGCAAGCTTTATTAGGATATACAAGTCAAGTCTGAGCTACAGTATGATAGCGAGGAAAGAAATAGATGTTTGTGTTGTAAATGAGAAAAGCACAAACAGATCACCGAGTCACACCATTTTCTGAGACAGAAATCTGACCGACGAGCTCTGAAAATAACATTTCATTATCTGAGGCTCATTAAAACAACCTTTCTGAAAAGCTTCCCGACACCCCTCGCCAATCCCTCGCCTTCCACGCTACACATTCAGTCATGGGACAAACGCTGCCGACGAACAGCCTGCTGCATCTCGGTGACTTTTTAAGTTACCCGTTGCTTACCCCTGTAGCGTGACTTCTTATATAACCACAAAAAAAAAAAAAAAAGTTTCACGGAACAAATGTGCAAGCAACAGTCAGAATTATGCACGTTGAAATCACTTAAGCATTCAGACCTTACAGGGTTTTAACAGCAGAGGATTCAGAAAAGTGTTGATTGGTTTAATTGATGGTTTCAAAGTGCTACGGCTCTCCTTCCAGAAGTCGTATCTGAGTCGACCGCAGCAATGTGTTAGATAATCAAGATCAAGATCTAAAAATATTCCATGTCTCACAGTCTGAAAGTCTTCTCTCATTACACACTGTAATTAAAAGTAACCAAGGCCTTCCAGCTCCAAATAGCACACAACTGCTAATGCGAGGGGAGTGACACTTGAAATGAAAAACCTCAAGGTATAAGTTTGCCGAGGAAAGTGGAGCAGATAGCGTGAATGTAGGTCAGGAGAAAGGTGTCCGATTAGGTTTAGTGGTCAACTACCGTCAAATGTTTGCTTTTTTTGATGTTGTTGTTGTTGTTGTTAAAATCAACACAATGCGGGTTCAGTGTATTTGTCGTACAGATTTAATGACAAGAGTGACTTCGCAAAAAGTTCTGTGATGTTTCTTCTCTTGTTACACCTCACTTCTGTACAAGTTTGACACTCCGCAGTAGGTTTAGCTCTTCCTGAGGCAGAGAACGACAGCATACAAAGGTCCTTATGATGAGCTGATGATCCCTCTTGAGATTACCAGTCTCTTGGGTTTCTTAATGTATTCGTCTCTGTTTATCACGCTACTGAATGCTTATCAACCGCAAAGGGGGAGTAGCCCAGACATCCACCCTGTCTTGTTTGTTTGATGGGCCTCTTTTTTTTTTTTCTTTTCTTTTCTTTTCTACGGCAAATGTACAGAGATCCAGATAATAACACAAGTTCTTTAATTATCTGCAATATTCACATGAGTCTATAGCTCCATTTATAAAATGTAGTCTCCGTCGTACTGAGCTCATTAAAAATTGAACAAGGTCAGGAATTAAACTGCTCTTACCATTATTCATTTTGTCCCTAATTTCAAGTATTATTTAATTAATCACCTGGAATGAGTCGAATAATTCACAGTGTCATAAGTTGCAGGGTGATATTAGCAAATTTTAAACTTATAAACACATCTATTTATGTACGCTAAATGGAACAATACACTTTTCTAAGTTCTTTTTTTTTTCTGTAAAGCAGGAGCCAGGCAAAAAATGTCTGTGGTTATTTACTACATGAGGGAAAACATCAACATTCAGATGTACTTTCATGGTTTCTTAGTGGATAAATCTTTGATGTTATATGAGATGAAACGATCAGTTTGTACTTAGGCATTTCACTGCTGGCTAATTTCACAGATTTTCTGACTTGATGATTGCATCATAAGCAAAAAACGTGTGCAAGCGTGTCTGTGTACGTGTGAGTTTCTGACATTGCCAAAGCCAGCGAGCAGGTGCCATCACTTCTCATTCCCACCATTTACAGTGAAAAGACATGTTGAGGACGAGCCGCATAAAGGGAGTCTGCGAGAGGGAATGTGTGGGAGAAACCACTCTTAATTTCTGCCTTTCAGCCAGTTCTCCTTGGCATTTTAGTTACGATTACACGTCAAGCTAATACTACTGTAATTCAGTTTGTCAGACTGTATAGCAAGAAAGCTAAAGATAACTGCATCTACTGTCACAGTACTGTACTAGAAGACAGAGTTTTCTACTTTGTTCCAAGTGCAGTTTTTTTAAAAGTCTTTCTTAACTGACACGTGGCACATGTCCCATATCAGACTACTGAAATATATGGTTCCATTTTAATATTGCAATGTAGTATTTTCTGAAGTGCTACCACACTGCTGCAGAGCACAATTACATATTCCCGTACAATTCTCTATTACTGCAGAGTTGATATCTCAAAACCTACCCTATCACGCAATTGTAGGTAGTAGGTGCCCAGTTCTCACTAAGCATTATGACTCACACCAGGCATAGAGCAGCTATCCAGCTCTAATCCACAAGAGATAATTTGGTATTCATGTTTTACAAATGTGCTTGAGAAAAATCCCTAAATCTTTTTGGCAAGTGCAGTCGAGAAAGTCGTGCAAGCATGTCATCCACCATGAAAAGGCTGCGGGACGGTTGAGTAAAGCGAGGCTTTGTCTCTCGAATTCAGCCCGAAAGACATTGCCATCATCGGCTTTCTTTGTTGCAGACTTTGTCTTTCCAGTATTTTACTGGTTTCTCAAAGGTAAATAGAGGCTTGACTCAGTGGGACATGTGCAGTTTTCCTACAACAGGTAATAAATTTGCGTGTCAGGCCTGCGCGTCACAGATTAAACATGCTTTGTTTAGGATGATTTATGACTGCAATGTCGTGCTGGGTGCACTTGGCTGTGAGGAGCTGAGGGTTTGATGGTGGTGAGGGGGTAGCAGGTGGGGCGGTGGGTTGGTGAGTGTCAGATTTGTCTTACAGGAAGACTGATCTGTAGCTGCTCCGAGGGTGCCCACTGCAACACACACCTCTGTCATTAATCACACACAGCCTCAGAGTACAGAGTGCTTTGTCTTCTCCTCCTCTCACACCAGTGCTGCAAGCTGTCACCATCCTGAGAAAAGCTTACTTCTGAACAACTATCAAGAAGTAAGAGAAACTGGAAAATATAAATGTATTCTCACAGAGAAAGATATAAAGTTGCTACAGCGAAACGGGACCCCTTACTCATTATCCTCACAGCGGGGCAGCTGTTGCACGTTAGTGTCTCTACCGGCAGTAAAAAAAAAAGAGTGTAAAACCTAGATCCTAAACTGCGCTATTCTTGTACTCGTCCTCCTGCAGAGAAGGTTACCTGGATATACAGGATTAAGATCACTCACTGTCCTTACGGAGAAACAGCTGATTCAGCAGGTAGCACAGCTAAAAGCATGTTGACTTATAATCCAAATACAGCTGAGTGCTGATGCCCCACTTTCTACTGGTCTCACACACTCACTCCCTCCATTCCAGACTGAATTTGAGGTAATTAATCACAGCACGAGGAGTGTTAAAACCAGGATCTTCTTTGACAATGATTAGTTGATTTTTGACTTCAACATCAAGGAAAAACTTTGCTGACTTTACTTTACATTGTATACATCTGGCAGTGCATTCAAACCCACAGGAACAGGGGCGTGACTTCATTAAACACCGCAAGTGCATCTTTTCTAAGCAAACAACTTGAAGTGTGTCAGTTGCAAGTAAGATTCTCCATGATTTCCCCACTCACAGTTTGATGTCTTATAGCAAAAGTCTATCAAACTATGACAGAAAAAAACTCCAGTCTGGACATAATAGTAATATTGGGTGTAACTGTGGCGTAACAAAGTAAAAGTATTTAAACAGGGGCCGAGGTGAAAAGAAAATCAGAGATAAAAAGAAGCTAAAACGTGTTAAAGCCTGTACGTACTGTATAATAGCAAATAGGCCTCTTCAGTAAAGGTGATCAAAATGAAAGAGCAGAAATAATAGAATCATAAAGGCATCAAAGAAAGCAGGAAAAGTCCATTTACAAATCTGTGGCGGAAAACCCAAGTCCCATAAAAGAGCATTCAGGGCAGAGATGAACAGGCAAACCTTAAAGCGGTTTGCCGGTGATGCAGTACATACTGTACTCTATCTAAGATTTGCATGAAGCTTGTACCTGTTTTCTCTGTGCATTTTAATGTGTGTGAAAATCACATGTCAAAATCTATGTTTTATTTGTACTGAAATATGGGCTAAAATTTGCCATCTACCCTAGGCATCTCATAAACAGTTCATTTCTGAATGTGACCCTAGGTGGTCAGGAAGGGGGGAATAACGACCTGTCAAAATAGAGCCCGGGTCCACAAAGCGTGCTTTCAGTGCGGAGGGCCAGATATGCGAAGTATATAATTGCATGCACTGTTTAACATTTATTACATTCAGTACACCATTGCGGTTTGTTTATCGTAACATACCAGGCAAACAGAGTTAATGTGCCTAAGCAAATATTTGCGGCACTATATCAAATTCAGCTACCAAATTAGGGATATCAGAGAGGCCAAATAGGGTCGCGTGTGAAATAACAGAGTTGTTAGGCCATTCACTGTTCCATACACAGATTGCCCTATCACACGAGTGGTTGAAGTGTTTGCACACAGAGCTTTGCCGCCTGCGGGCTTATATATCACACTGTGCCTTATTAAGAGCTTTTACAAAATCTGGCTTTCACTAGCCCCCCTTAGTCACCGCTCTGAGGGCAGCTGTCTTCAGGACCTCGGTTTGTGTACAGCCCTGACTAAACGCTTAGTCTCCCTAAACAGATTGGGGCAGTGTACATGTGCATGATAGATAAAAGGCGAGAATGGAGATATTACAGCCATGCTGTATGAACTCACAGCAAAATTGGTTTAAAGTGATATCCTTCTCCCTGTAAGTGGTGTAAGAGATGAGCCACATTCAGCTTTATGGGATGTCACAGCTTGATGTGATTCCACTTTATTTTTCAGCACATTGAACTGCCTCTTCAGATGTGCTCCACAACATCCTTCACATTATACCAATAAATTCAGAAAGTGACCCATATTGAAAACATTTCTGCCCTTTCAAAATAGAATTTCTTAACAGATTGTTCAGTAACCAGTCCTGAAGACAGCATGGTATTAGTCTCATGGTACAAGTTCAGCTGTCAGACAGACAAGCCATTTACTTTTATGCAAAAGTAATGAGCGGTGACCACTGACCCGCAAATTAATTATCTCCAGCTGCACGCTGACCCACTGAAATGACTTCACTGTAATCGGCGAAAGTTATGATGTATTCTGGGTGTACCCGAACTGTGTTCTATTCCTACAGTCACCAAAATAGAGGACTCCATTTTATTATAGCATGCTGGGAATTCCCCACCATTTCCTCCTGCTCTTGACCTGCCACCCTCCATTGTATGTGCAAGGAGAAGGTCTGAGGCCGGAGCAGACCGAACAGCTCTGCCAGGCTGACAGATCGGCTCGTCGTGCCCTCTGCTGCTCCGTCTGCACTGCGGCTCCATTGTTCTGCCCTCTCAGGTCGAGCCTCAGGGCAACTCCTCACCATTGTGTCTGACAGACCTGCAACCTGATACCATGGCAGTCGGCGCCTGCCTTCGTCCCTGTGGAACACTGATGCCGCATATGGGCATGGGTGTGTTTGAGTGCGTTTACACCGATAAAGAATTGTAAAACATTTGTGGATATGACAAAAAAAAGTAACAATATTTGTCGTATTTCTTGTAAATACAGTAAAGGAATGAATAATCTGGAGATTTTTTTGCAATCAGCGCTGTGCAAGTCGTTCACTTGTGTGCTCATCACACAGTGGAAACTCGCATGATCGAGGAACCATAGGTACAGGGACAAACCTGGGACCACACTGTAGTCGTATGTATGTCTACAAAGGCTTGACGCTCTTATTTAGTAGCAAACTATACAGCCGCAGTCACATCTTTACTGCAACAAGAGGAAGACTGACATCTTATCTCACCTCCACAGAGAAATGGAAAAACTGAGCCTGAAGAAGCCTATAGAGCAGACACAACACAACAGCCTATACACATCAAAGCAAGCCCCAACCAAGCTGAGCATGCCGT